AACAGGAAGTGGTAAGCTCGAGTGGTATGACTAAGCAGTGACTGCATTGTTTATAGAGTGATGCAGCAATGATTCCTAAAACCTGGACATGAGTTTGGATTTTTGCACTCCCGTTTCCCTTGTCTCAAAGTCACTGGGATTTTTAAATACAATTTTGTTTAGATGCCAGAAACGAGTTTAGAAGTTAACACAAGATTAAGATACTTTCACATTTTCTTCTACGTGATAAAATACATTAATAAATACCCCACTTGAGAATTTTGAAGCTCTTATTCGTCTTAAAAATGGTGTTTGATAACAAATGGCTAAATGAGACTTAAGCGTGTCATCACGCCGAGGACGGCTTTACAGCCTTGATATAGCAGCAACCTTAAGTCATGTGACTGTCATGTAGTTTGTTTGTAGCCTAACGCTAGCTTTTTAGTTCTGCTGATTGCATTTAGGCTTCTATAATCATGAAAGTCATGTTCATTTGTAAAGATTATCTTGTTACACAAAGCATATAACATAAATGTTTGTTTGCCAGTGAGTTTATTTTCTGCAATAATCCAAAATCCAATGGAAAATCCTCCAGGCTTTTTGACAAGGGACCCAGGGCAACGTCAACTTTCATGTCAGCCTACAGAAGAACGTCATCCCTGCTCTACCTTTTGAGCAAAAGCAAATGCCACAGCCCTTTTTCTCTGTTTTCTCTGGTCATGTAGCACCAATTTCAAACTGCATAGACAGGCCTGTTTTATAAAACCACCATCTTTCCAGCAGTGACATACTTCTTAGTAACAAACAATTTAGGCAATACTTACTCAAAAATATTTGTAAATAAATGTAATTATTATGAGAAAAAAAAGCCTTACAAAAAGAAAATTGTATTGTAGGCTGTTAAAGAATCATCTACCAATTGTATTTGAAATTACAGGTTTAGTTAAATAATGAATACAATTTATTTTCATAATTAGGAGTAAAATGTCTATACATGATCTGAAAATACAATAAAATCAAATTAATGGAAACAATAAACAAACAACCTGTCCAAATGTTTACACATGAATCTATGCTCAAATCTAAAAGTAGTTTAGCCTGAGCCAGCTCTGTTCTTTATTTTTAAGTTGTTGGGGTGTGACAAGCAACAAATATTTTTTCTTGAGCCTTCCTGAGTGACTTGGGGAAAATGCATGACCCTCCCTCCACCATTTAATTTTTCAAAATTAACATAAATTAAAAAATTTAAAAAATGTCATCATTGTGTAAATGACAAATAATCCAATCTTATTGTAAATTTGAACACATTTTATATATGAAGCGTGACAGCAAATTACTAGCCAGACTGACTTTTATTATAACATCTCTATCATCTCTTGTACAAACAATCTGTTGTTTATTAAAGGGATTAGCAGGGTGTGTCATGTCATTGTTAACATATTTTTAAGATGGGAAAACTCCTCAGATTTTAATTAAGTTCTGCTGTACAGCTGTGGTAAATAGGTGCAGTCTCAAACCTTACACATCATGCCATCCAGTCAGATGAGCAGTGATCATGGTTTCAACTTTCCACTCATGTTGCCATTACTTCTGAACAACATCCCATTGTTATCTGATATAATTTTATCCAAGATAAACCCATCAATCCTCCACTTGCATTTAAGCAAATTAGCTGGATGGAAATGATCAAGTTTATTTTTAGCTGCTTAAAGTCACGTTGGCCTGGATCAGTTCAGCAATATCTGAAGAATAAGACAGAGCAAGGAAGCACTGTCACCCAGTACATTTCAGTTGAACAAACACATAGATTTTGTATTTGGTCTGATTATTTTTTGGGCAATGTGCTACCAAACACACACAGGAAAAGTTTCTGCGTCACTGGATTTTTTTTTTTCTCACAGGGATCCAACGTATGAATCTGTGTTCTGCTGGCTCCAGCATTTTTATTCTAGGTCTGCAAGATTTATAGCATGGCCACCATGCCAAAACATTATGATGCTAACTTCAGGGATGGAAAAGCTACAACCATTGCCACCATAAGAAGGGTGGGAAGCTGTTATTTTATTACAATCCACAGGCCACACAGTTTGGTGGATCCCATAATTCGAAATCCACTTTCAGTTTTAGAAATGATACTAAAAATATCATCAGCGTCTTGACGCAGTGACTTGTAAAAAAAAAAAAAGCCGCATTGAATGCAGCTGGTGGATGGTTTTGTTTTTATACAATAAACTGTAGAGCGCTATTTTTCCCATTAAAATGACATAACTTTGTATTATATAGTAGCAAAGGTTGTCATGTCCTATGCTTTCTGCACAAAGCTAATACCAAACAGGACAGGAATCCAGTTCTTAAATGTATGTGAGATGAAGTTTCATTGCCAGCAGCACCTTTTGGCTTTAGTCCAAGACAGAGCAAATCCTCTCAAAGCAAATTGTCAAAATGAGAGGCAGACATACTGTACATGTCAATATGTGAGGAGCAATTAAACAAAAAAACTCTGAAAGAGAGCACCCAGCAGCACTGCAGCTGCCTCAAAATATTACAGCCCTGTTTGATGCTTCACTTTTACTGTTCTGTTTTCTTAACTTGATTTAATTCACTCCTACCTCATTTTCTCTGGCCTGAGAATACCAAAAAAGGCCAATGCCACTGAAAACACTATTGATAACATTACTTAAATGACATAAGATCCCTGTTTAAAAAAATAGGAACTTGTGTTGTACCCTGAGGTGATGACCAAATATTTACCAGTATGGCGGACAATCAGTGAAACAGGAAACAATAATTGTTGCACTGATGCTGCGCAGGAGGATTTTGTCAAACGTCAACTTCAGTCTGGCTACTTTACAAACACATTATATGAAGAAAAAGAAGAGGAAGCCGCCTCCCTGTCCCATCCAGCCACTGAATCTTTTAAGTATACAGAGCAACTGAGAAGGATAGCATTAATATGCTTCCCATCAGAATCAGCTGTTGCAGTCCTGGTCAGTGACCTGACTGATCATAACCTGTTTCTCAGTTTTTATTAATGCTTTTGTAATAATGCTCACAGAAATCTATGATGGGAATCATGTAATGGGCCTTTTCAAAATACAGGTACAGATGGATCCCTGTCTCGCCTCTTTTGACGTGTATATCACAGAAATCGTGGCTACAGTACATTTACTAATCTGTCATTTTAATTTCAACAACTGGAGTGGTTTAAGTCCATGATTCCCAACAAGGGGGTAATTTTTTTCCAATTGCCTGGGGATACTTTAAAAATTAAGTAGCTAATTTGCAACTAATTGTGGTAGAAAAAAATAGAGACTGGGTGAATTAAAACAAATATGATTTTAAACACTGCAGTGATGCTGCTATAGTACTTACTTTTTCACACAACAATAAACTACAATAGGATCTCCAACCTGAGTAGGCTGCAACTCCTGAAATCCACATGCTAAGATTAAGTGTATAAAAATTAGTCAGAAAGTAAGCAATAAGTCCAAATAGAGCTGGAAGTGTTGGGGAAATTGTCAGCTTCTGCCATTTTAAGTGGTAGTAGTGCAAACGTAAACTTGACAAATATTGAAATTAAAAACAAACACAGGCAAATCCTGAGTTAATGAAAAGAAATGGTATTTAAAACCCCTTTTAAATGAACACATTTAGGACATGACAAGTGGTGCTGATGAGGGATCACTGCTCATCTAATGAGCTGTGGGGGTGAGACAGACACCAAAAAAGGTCGGGAAACACCAGGTTAAGGCATCTGTGGAGTAGATGCATGTAGTTTTGGGTTATAAAAACTGCCTAGCCGTTAGCTTCCGTTGTTTCACCGTGAAGTTCTAGGTACAGTTAATTTTAGAAAACATTTGCCATGGTCTCTGATGATTTCCATGCAAACCAAGCAGCCTCGATAACCCCTACTGCCTCATACATTACCCAGCAGTGAGAAATATTGCTGCTGTGTGTTGTTATTGTTGTCTTTTAACATCATACTGTCATATAAACGCAATTGGATTTGTAGCTTATCTTGGGGGATGGGTCTATTTCCACAACAGAGCGCTCTTTCCCGGAAATGCACCAAAAAAACCCACAATAATACACTTGTGCTCAAAAGTAAACGCTACTTTAGCGCTTCAGTGCAGAAACACAACGTTTAAGATGTTGTTGTTGTCGCTAGCTAGCCTGTATTTCACCTTTGAATCCTCAACCACGTCGCCATCTTGCAAGGCAGATTTTAAGCGTAGACCGGGGGCGCTTAAATTGCGTGCTAATTAGACATGTTGCTCTGCTGCGTGTTAGCGATTTGTACTCACCTCATGTTTAGAAAATATACCGATGGCAGAGAAACGTATCCCTGGGCAGAAATATGTGTAAATTGTTGATTGTAAATCCGCGGGTTGTGGGCTGTGGACAACTGGGCAGACTGAAGGCTGCGCCGCATTTGTCGGTCGATGTCCTGACAGGGTAAAGGAAATTGTCCCCGCTCAGTTGAATCCTCGTGGTACTACTGGCATACCGCAACACATTTATATGAACAATAAAACTATAATATACAGATATAAAAATTGAGTGGACTTTTGTGTCGCTCCTTTTGATAAACAAGAAACATGTCTGTTTTTATACTTTTATATACCTGTAAGGATAATGCAGTGTCACAGCTAAATCGTTCCCCTTGAACACAGTAACGTTCCTGGTGTTTTACATTTTCACTTTTCAAAAACACAAATTCAGCTTAATTTACATAACTTTCTTCAACGGTTTCCAATTCCTCTTTATTTAAATACGCCGTAAAATTATTCAGTATCACATGCATGTCTTCGTTCTCGTAGAACTTGATTTAAACGCATTTCAGTGAGAAAACATGACAGTGTCTCCAAGTGAGTGAAACATAGTATTGTATGGCTAAAAGCGGGCGGTTTTTCCTTTGTTAGACTTAGTTGTGATACTTGTTGCAACCTTTAAAGACGGGGTAACGTTTGGTGTATCAGACAGACTGCATGGTTTTTTTTACACGTGGAACCATTTGCATGTTAGACTTTTGTCTTTACACGGATTGTTTACGGTAACGGTCAATAATAATGAGTGTTTACCTGCTTGTCTCGTTAGTTTTATGCTATCTCGTTTTGATAAAATGCATTTTCTATCGACATCGGCGTACCTTGGAGAAGTCGTTGAAACATCTAACGAGCTTTTCGTCGAGCAGAGAAACAAACGGCGCTGACGTCAGAGCTCTGATTGTCACCGCGCATCCGGATGATGAATGTATGTTCTTCGCGCCGACGATTGTTCGACTCGTTGAGTCAAACGCCACCGTTCATTTGCTGTGTTTATCTGAAGGTACGGTGACAGCACACTATTGTTTGTAAAGATAATGTTAATAAAGCACTGTAGAGCTATAGAGACTTCGTTATTAATCATGCAGATAGCTGCTAGCCAACGTTAGCTGGGTTTAGTTACATGTTTTAGAACCATTGAAAAGTCACTTAGGGATTGTTCGTTATTTATGAGGGGTGCGGGAAAGGGGAAGCATGTCAAATATTTTTTAAGTACTGAGGAGGGAATTGTGTTTATTATTTTGGCTTAGAAGAGGCACATTCAACTATAAATGGCTTTATTTTACAGCTAGACGTTAAATTTTTGCCTTCCAAATGCATGTGTTCTGTAAAAAATGGTCAAAATTACATAATTATCATAGCCAGAAGCTGCAGTCACAGAAATTATCATTGGAATTTCACATTTCCGATGGTCCTTGAGCACAATATGTATGCCTAAAGCTTCTAACAGGGAAAAAAGCAGAACCAAATATGAGTTTATAGTGATATTTCACCAAAATAGCTTTATTCTAGTATGTCTTAATTAAAATGTAATCAAAGATAAACTGTTGGCACTAACTAATCAGCATGCACGACAACAGTGACAACCCAAAGCTTTTTTCAACTTCAGGATTTCATCTTCAACTTTTTAACTTTCAATCATTAAAAGGATTTTTTCTAATCAAAAAATAAATAAATTACATAACAAAAAATAAATAAATAAATAAATAAATAATGGTGGCGATAGGGTCATCTTTTTCCCCAAGTCAGTCAGGGAGGCTCAAGAAAAAAAAATATTTGTAGCCCAGAGGAGGGTAAAAAAACGAACAAACAAACAAAAAAAAAACAGTCACACCCAAGCCACTTCGTGCTGCTTATAACTAAACAGTTCCTTGCAAGGAATCTGCTGTGGCATTTGGTGTAATGAACATATACACATATACAATAAACATATTCAGAGGAGAGCAGAAGTACATCAGAAATCAAGAATATAAATCCAAATGTACAATACAATATGAAAAACATACTAAAACAAATATGTATAATGTTTTAGAATGAGAGATCTGGACCGTTTATACAGGATGTGCAAAAATATTGATTTGAGGATGTGCAAAAGTTCACATGATAGAGAATATTTGCAATTCATAGAGATAACAGTCCAAGATGTGCATTAATATATGGCATAGAGACAGATGTCTGTGAGGGGTCAGTGGGGTTACCGGGCCTTGTCGATGAGGCCAAACTATTTTTGTGGCATGAGGTTTTGGTCCCGGTGGACTGCAGCTTCCTGCCAAAGGGGAGTGACTCAAAAAGTTTGTGTCCAAGGTGGGAGGGGTCGGCCACAATCCTCCCTGCCTGCCTCAGGGGCCTGGAGGTGTACATGTACTGAAGGGACGGCAGATTACAGCCGGTGATATTCCCTGCAGAGCAAATGATATGCTACAGTATACCCTTGTCCTTGGCAGTGGTAGCCGCACATTAGATGGTGATGGAGAAGGTGAGGATAGACTCAGTGATGGCAGTGTAGAAGTGCACCATCGTTGTCTTTGGCATGTTGAACTGCAGCTGCCACAGGAAGCACATCCTCTGCTGGCCTGTTTTGATGAGGGAGCTGATGTTCAGCAGACCAAGACTTGTTGAATTTTGGGTGAAATATGAAAATCAAAGTAAGGAGGGTAAAGCTGCACTATCTAAATCTGAAAATTGCACAAATTTTGGTTACAGGGATTTCAGCAACAACTAGCTTTTCAAGGAAATGCTCAAACATGTTGGTGTCCATCATCTAAAAAACTACATGAATAAGGAGGACCATTGTGACACAGCAAAAGAACATATGATATTTTAAAATCATTTAAAATGTTTGAGATTGCAACTAGACAGAATTTAGACTTGTTTCTACATGTATCCTTTCATCACAGTGTCTTTAGCCTAATTTGTCCTGTAATTATTGTACAGGAAACTACTACAATCAAGGAGCTCAACGTAAACAGGAACTTCTCAGCAGCTGTGCCGTGCTGGGGATACCAGACTCCAGAGTCACCATAGTAGACCATAAGTAAGCTGCCATCTGCACCAAACACACAACATACAAATTATAGCACTCCAGTTGTGTGTCTTTAATGGCTTCTTAGAATTTACAGATTTTTACAGATATACTATTTTTTCCCCCATAGTTTTGGTTATTGAAATTTCCTGGACATGCATGAATCAGTAGTTCAGTGTCTTAAGTTTTGATGCCCATCTCTAGACAAATAAAAATATATATGTAAACATGTCCGTACATGGAGAAACAGAGAGATAGTAATAGTGATATAAAAACTAAGTAAAAAAGATCTAATTAAAAATGAATATATAAAAAATACATTATTGATAAAAAATAAAATTAATTATAATAAAAATTTAAGTAAAAAAAGAGTTAGTTAAAAATGAATTAATAAAAATTACATTATTAATAAAGATACAATTAATTATAATAAAATTAAAATAAAAATGGGAATAAACAATATTAAATACATAAAAAAATAGATATAGAATAAGAAAGAGGGATTGTTATAGTGATACAAAAAATTCTAAATATTTCAAAATAATTAAAAAAAAATAAAATACAGTAAAAAAACAAATAGACTTATAGAAATAAAAACTGAGGCTATATGTTGGCTAAAAAAATCATTTTGCAAAGTATACTTGTGCCGCCTTGAGTTCAGGAGTCAAGTGTCAGCATGTCTGCCTGTTGGAGCCCATCAGTCCCCTCCTTATCACCCAGTATCTATCAGAACAATAGCGAGTCGACCACAAATCACACCCATCCATTCTCACCACAACAGTGCCGATCAAGTCCGGCCTGATGTATTACTACCTCTGTGTCACAGAGGAAATAAATGAGGCAGTGATTGGTCTTCCCAGTGGGACATGGAGCCCCCTAAAAACCTTTCAATTACAAACTAACATCAATCTATGTATCTATCTAGAGTATATATCTATTTTATATCCATCCCTGAAAAGTACGGCTAACCAAGTTTTAAATTATAATCAGGCAAGTTTATTTATATAGCATATTCCAACAACAAGGCAATTCAAACTGCGTTACATACAAAGTGCAAAAGAAGCACATTATAAAGAGAATGAAAATAAAATAAAAGCTAAAATAGAATAATATAGGTATAATATACAGGAATAAAACTTACAGTGCATTAAAAGAAATGATAATTATTTGATTTAATAAAAGGCAGTGGCAAACAGAAAAGTCTCCAGCTCTGATTTGAAAGTACTGACAGTTTTTTCAGGAGTTTGTTCCAGATATATGGTGCATAAAAACTGAATGCTGCTTCCCCATGTTTAGTTTTGCCTCTGTTGACACAGAGCAGACCTGAACCAGACGACCTGAGAGGGCTGGATGGTTCATAATGTAGCAGAAGACCAGAAATATATTTTGGCTCCAAACCATTCAGTGCTTTTTTTAACCTTCAGTAGTATTTTGAGATCAATTCTCCAACAGGCAGGAAGCCAGTGATAAGTCATCGTTTCATTCAGGTAAATCAAACTTAAACTTTTTGTTTAACTAGCTTATATAACAGGTTATTTAAAAATGTCCTTAGTGGAACTATGACTTCTGAATTTGCCTGTAACATTTGCACAACTGAGCTGTTTGTTTGCTCTGAGCTGTCTGTCAAGTTGTTTGACGAGTCACCATGGATTATTCAATGTCAGTGAGCCCTACGGGGACATTGGGTAGATTTGAATGACTAGAGGGCTGATTAACATTACTGTCACGGGAGGTAATTGCCTATTAATTAAATGACATTGTGTTCCTCTTTACTACTTAATTAAATATTCTGGTGCCACCCAAATACAGCCCCCCCCCCCATTCATTTGCAGCCACTGAGTCAGGTAGTTAAGATTCACTGAAAAGAAGCCTCAGACTTCTATGGTGATTTTTTTCAGTCAATTATGGGTTACATACCAAAGTATCTCTGGTATTGGAAAACTTTTAAGCATCACCACTTCTCAGATGTAGAGGATGAAATGAAGGGCGTCAGTGGTTCCCCAGAGGTTCTTTAGTGGTAAGAAAATTGGTGCAGATTCCAGCTTTGTTGCAGGAACATGACGGTTCAAAGAAAGATTCTGACATTTGTTTGCTCGCTCTCGTTAATGTCAGAGTGCTTCAGAGTAAGATGCATGATAGCAAATTATAATGTATCATTGCGCTCAACTTCGAACAGTGTTTTTGGGGTAATCTCGCTCTTCTTGTGTTTTCTTCTATGCAGAGTTGACCCAATACTTTGACCATTGCCATGGTAATTGATGTCCAGATCGGAGTTCAAATGGTTAGTTAGTTATTCTCAGAAAAGCACATTTAAAATTAGGGCCTTGACACTATATCAACATCAAAGAACTAGTGGTGACGAAGGCCAACTGTTGAGTCATCTTTTGTCGCCTATGTCTTCGCCAAAAAGTTGCACCTGAACACGCCACAGAGACTACAACCAAAGGCCATGTAGCATTTGGTTTTGAGCCTGTGCGAGTGGAAATAACTTTCCATACCAGCAGGTGGCAGTAGTCTGTATTCATCATTCAAAGAGAGAAACCAGAGGACTGACAGGACGGATCCCAGCAAGCAATAGTCGTGATTTAAACGTATTGGTTATATTTAGCTCTGATTTATTCTAGCTACATGTAACCCAAATCTAGCCGATTTAATTTTGAAATTGATTAAATGTAATTTTCGCCATTGCAGATGGCGTGCGGTATGATATTCAATCACGTATGGAGAGTCAACAGTAATTAAAATATGTTTATCTCCATTTTTTGGACATGGTCTCTACATAGCCGTATAATTGATGACGTCTACACTTTGGCTATGGTTAGACGTCTACCAAATTTTCACTGACAGCCCAAAATCAGCCGTGATTTAGCCTAGACGTCAGGTCTTCATGTAGACTGCTATTAGATGTTTTTTAAACCAAAAAATGCTTGCTGGGATTCAAGACACTAGTTAGCCAGTTCGCACATTAACAACACAACTTGTTGAAAGAACAGATGATATTTGCCTTGTGCTAGCAAACAACATAAACAGTTATGAACCATTTCTGCTCTGAGCTCATTGCTGCAAAGTGTTTTGACCTCACGCCCTCTTGACCCAAGTTGTTTGTTTACTTTACTCACTTTGATTTCTTATCTTGTGCACTGAACTGAACTGAACTGGAGTATGCATGTTCTCCCTGTGTCAACGTGGGTTTTCTCCGGGTACTCCAGCTTCCTCCCACAGTCCAAAGACATGCAGGTTAATTGGTGACTCTAAATTGTCCGTAGGTGTGAATGTGAGCGTGAATAGTTGTCTGTCTCTATGTGTCAGCCCTGTGATAGTCTGGTGACCTGTCCAGGGTGTACCCTGCCTCTCGCCCAATGTCAGCTGGGATAGGCTCCAGCTCCCTGGCAACCCCCAACAGGATAAGTAGTTATGGGAAATGAATGAATGAATGAATGAACTGAACTGCTAATTGGAGTGATTTAATTTACCGGGCTCTGCTTTCTCCAACACCTACTGAGCGGGCTGAATCAGCCAAAAAACAGCCAACAAGGGCCGATTAGTGCCAATGATGCGGGGCACACCGCAAAAACTAGGGCAGCAGACTGTCATCGACGACTAACTATTAGCTTGGTATGTTAGGACCTTTACAGTTCCACTGGCAAGAGTTTAAGAAGTGAAGCGTCTGGAATAGATTTAAAATGACCTATTACAAAAAGTCGATTACATGCCCAAGAAAAGTGGCATATCACAAATCAACTAATTTTTTTCAGCTAATTTGATAATGAGTTTGGCATATCATTATCAAATTAGCCATCTTGCAAAGTGTCCTTTTTTCCTAGCTATTATCGCTCATGTAACTGACATTCATACTAACGAAGTAGCTAATTGAGTGCTGCAGGGATGATGTTTATTTGTAGGCCAACATGAAAGTAGCGTCGCCCTGGTTCCCTCGCCAAAAAAGCCTTTGGGATTTTCCTTTGGATTTTGGATTATTGCACAGAATAAACTCTGTGGCAAACAAATGTTTATGATACATGTTTTGTTCAGCAAGATAATCTTCACAAATGAACATCACTTTTATGATTGTTGAAGTGTAAATGCAATCGCAGGAGGTAAAAAGCTAATGTTAGGCTGTAAACGAATACACCACATGACTCATGACTTCAGTGTGACCAGCGCCAGCACCTTATTTCAGGCATCCAACAAAAAAAATCACTGACTTCGAGACGAGGGGACCAGGACAGGAGTGCTAAAATGCTAACTCATTTCCGGGTTTTAGGACTCATTTCTGCAGCACTCTGCAGCATACCACTGTTGTCCCATTTTTAAGGTGCATCGAGTGAAAACTGATGTTTCTTCCACCCCCCTCGAAGCTTTGTTTAATGGCGGCTATTTCTCACTGAAGCTTTGATACCCAAACACTGATATTTGGGACAGCCCCACTTCTGTGTTTTGCTGTTGATGCAGCTGTAAGACTTTCAGTCTCCTGGCTCTGGCTATTGGCAAGGTCAAGTTACAGAGAAAGTAATGGTAAAAGGTGATGTTGAAAAAAAGGGGGAAACTTTTTTCCCTCCTCTGGATCAACCCTGCAGCTTTCCTTGAAAATGTTTTGAGTTTCTAAGAATCTCAGGGCAGCCTACATGTGAGTCTCTACATGTTGGCTCACCAGGAGAGCTGCATGAACTCTGGCACTAACCTGGAACTCACAGTAATAAGCTGGCAGCCTGCCCAGGTTGTCTGCCCTACAGAACAGTGTGTGTGTGTGTGTGTGTGTGTGTTTACTTCACAGTTTTATCATCTTGTGCACACAGAATACAGCTGAACTTTGATCTTGGTGCTGTCTGCACTTCTGCTGAACTGGAGTGTAGCCCATTTTCCCTTTCTGTGTATTCTGTTGTTTGCCCAAAACACACACCTAATCAGCACTTTGAGAGCCCGGCTCACTCACAACCAGCTTTCCCCCTCTGTTCCACCCCTCCTCCTCTTCCTCCTCCTCCTCCTCTTGTCCATGTCTGCCGAAGCCAACT